GGCGCAGGGCATGCTGCACAACTCCCTCCCTAGTGGGTCTCTGGACCCTACGAGCCCTCACGCCCTCAGCCCCCGTGCCCCCCCCCACCTCCCACCCCCAGTGCAGGCACGCACAAAACCTCCCCGCCTTCTCCGACCTCCCCAAAGCTGAGCAAGAGCTGCCGAAACCGGGCTTTATACTGGGAAGTGGCTCTGTGCTCGGCGTCCGCCGGACCGGGGGACAATGATACAGACAGATGCGCAGGGTGGAGGGACCACGGGTGCCAGCCTGGGGGGGACAAGGCTTGGTGAATTTTACCCCTTTTTTTGCAGCGGGAGGGGAAAGAGGCTGCGAGGTGATGTGGGACCTCAAGATAAGGATGTCTTTTCATGCCCAGCGGCAAAATAGCTACTGGTAACGGGGGGAGAGGGTAGCAGCGAAGCGCTCTTCATTCACTTTCCCCCTTTTTTAAAACCTTCAGAACAGCTAACCGCGCTCGGCGCTGCGGGAGGAACGGAGGGAAGGTGGCTCCGCTGCTCCACGCTCCAGGTCACGGCGCCTCGGGGCCCAGCGCACCGCCGCTGCCCTCCGCACCCAATTCCCGGGACTGGGACTGGCCGGGACCCCGGCGGCTGGTCCCGCCCCGCCGCGCCTCATAACATCTCCCGCTGCAAATGGCCCAATCGGGAGACGTGTCTGGGCAGCACGAGCCAATCGGAAGCTGCTGACTCAGGCTTCCCTCCACCCTTTGTCCCGCCCCCAATAGGAAAAGCCACCGCCCCTTGGACTCCCCCTTCCCACCCCACCCCCTCTCCAGGGAGGTGGCTCCCGAGCTCCTATTCTCGCCGGGGTTAGCGAGTGGACCTACCCGCCCCGGCGGCCGCGGGTGTCAGTCACCTAGTTACCCTGCTCTTCGCCCGTGCCGAAGCGCACCCCTCCTCCCTTTCCCAGTCCTCCTGCTGGTGCTGTTGAGGGTCATTTTTATCTTCACTCTGGCGGGGGGCTGCCAGCTATTGTGTCTGATCCGCTGCCACCACCATCCAGAGGGGAAAAAAGAGCAAAACCAAGAACCTATGGAGTCTGCTTACCTTTCCCTTCTTTCTTACCACACTATCCCAGGAAGATATAGAGACTCTTCCCCACCCACCCTCACCCTCTCCACTCCTCTCCATGCTCGCCGCCTCGGGTCCTGTTTTTTGATGACAAAACAAAAAAACTAAAAACACTCCCTGGGGCTTGAATACCTGTACCTCAGTTTTTAGTTCTTCCTAAGAGTGGAAGCTGCCAAACATTTAGAATATACAACTAAATCCTCAGCCTCAACTAGAGGAAGACTTTGACTAGATCATCTTTATTTTTTTTTAAAGGAATGAACTAGAGGGAATGCCTGCCAGTCCGTTGGTAATTTTCTAACAGCCCTTTGGGTTATAGCAGTTCCAGATACTGTTGAGTAAATTAACAAGAAATGGATAGAAATGCAGGGTTCAAGTAGGGGACCTTCAGTGGGCTTCTAGAATATGTCTGGACTTATATGTCTAGAAAGGAAAAACAATTTTAAGCACAAAACAGCGCCTTACAAATGCCAATGTGTATGCGTGGCATAAACTGAGTACCTAACAGCTGAGGACTTCTAGGGTTAAGATTTTTGTAAGGAAAATTTTTATAAATGTTGATTTTGGAAAAGGGTTTTCAGTTAGGTAAAGGAGAGTAAATACAAATTTCATTAAATGAAAAGGAGATAAAACACATTTTAGGAATGTGAGAAGAATTGCATAACCTAGAAAAACATTTCTACAAGAGGTATATGGACCTGAATTGCAGTCTAGATCCATTATTTACCATTTGACTTAGGGAAAATTATCATTTATATGTATATACTAGAGGCCTAATGCACGAAATTCGTGCAAGGGCCTTGGCCCCGGCCCCACCTGCTGCTGCCTCTGCCTTGGCCCACTTGCTGCAGCTTTGTCTGGAAGGAAGTCTAATTAGCATATTACGTTTTTATTATTATAGATACTAGAGCTACCAAATAATAATAGTGACTACCATCTATATAGCACTACCTTTGTGCTACATATTCCTTGAAAAAGTTTACATGCAATTAAATGAGATAGGTGAGCAGAGCCAGGAGTTAAGGGGGGGGGGGGGGTCAAACTTCAGAACCCATGTTTTTCTTGACAGCACTATAGCACCTCTAACATGGTTTTTAATAACAAAAACAGCTAACATTCACTTAGCTTACTGTGTGCTAATTATTGTGCTTTGTTGGTACTAATTTACTATTAATCCTACCCCTGGGGTCAGTCTGAGTATGATGTTGCAGTATTTGGGAATGTTTTTAAGAACCATTATAAGTTATCATATGTATCTTTGTGTGAGTTAGGATAGGCATTGTTAGGACAAAGGTCTCAAGATCTGGGTGGTTCTTACTAAATGCTGTTCTTGCTAAATGTTAACCTGTAGCATAGTATTTTGCAGAGGTCGCTGTAACCAGATGAGCTTGACCAACTGCAAAGAAGAAATCAACATGTAATTAACCAAATCGTGTATATAAGCAATGACTAAGCCTCCCTTTGGGAGTTCAGAGCTTTGGATGTGAATCCCCTATCGCCTTTATTTGGTGCAAGTAAATGAAACTACCTTGCAGCAGCCACATCTTTCTTGTTCTTGAATAGAACACCCCAAGCAGGGAACCCTTTGAGTTCATTAACAGTATGATTATGATGTTCCAAAATTTGGGAATGTTTTTAAAAACCTTTATGATAAGTTGCTATCCTACGTATCTTATGTGTATTAAGCTATCTGAATAGAGAAAGACAAAAGCACAGTATTAAGATTTGGGAAACCTGAGTCCTAGTTCTCTACTAGGTCCTCAGAGAATGACTATCTTGCTGGGCTGCTGAGAGCATCAAATGTGATAATAGATGTAAAGTAGTTTTTACAAAAATAAACACATTATTCTAAAGAAAATATTATGGAGCAGAAATTTGTCTGATTTTCCCAGCAGGAATTCTACGTTTTGTAACACCTTTTTGATATTTATTGGGAACATATTAACCCAGTTGAAAATGAGGTCTATTCCTTTCTGAAGGCATGAGTAATAATAATGTTGTTTGTTTTTATTATTATTATTGATGTTAGAGAAGGAGGAAAGGAGGGAGAAGAGAGAGAGAGAGAAAGAGAGAGAGAGAGAGAGAGAGAGAGAGAGAGAGAGAGATGAAACATCCATCCGTTGGCCTCCGTTGCCTCAGACCAGGATGAACCTGCAACCTAGGTATGTGCCCTGACCAGGAATGGGACCTGCTACCTTCCAGTGCTCTAACTGAACCACACCAGCCAGGGCAATAATAATGTTTTACTAATGATGTGATGTGAGTTCTCATTTAGATGAATTCTGAGTTGACTAAAGTGGATTCCCTCTAAGCATCTGGGAAGTGGCAGCCATCAGCCAGTCATTCTCCAGTGGAAAGGTTAATGGTGTGCTTGGTGGGGAACACAGATTCTTAGAGTTGTCTTCCACTGCCCATACTGGGCATTTCACTCATTAACACCTCCACCAGAGGGAGGGCAAGAGAAAGGAAAAAGAGCCAAACTTACATCCTGTGGCTGCTTGTTAATTGCTCCAAGAAACTTAGTGAAACAACAGGTTTGGAGCTCTTTACAACCGAAAGGAGATTTGAAATTAATTGTGGGTTTCACAGTTAATATCTTCGTAGTTTTATTTATCTCAAATATCACAGATAAGCAA